TTGGAAGAGTAAACATGTCAGGCTAAATTAATAATTGACTTCTGTTGTCTTAATCTGTCAAAAACAGATTTCTTGCTATTTTAAAATGGCATCTTTAGATATATTTTCTGCTGTAGATACTGTTGTCCCAAAAAAAAAAAAAAACTTAAATAAAAAATCATGCACATACCTTAGGAACAGTATTACAGAAAATTATTTTAAAATTAAATTTTATTTTTAAAAGTTAAATTTTAAAACTTTGACATTTCCAAATTTTTTGACATTTGTGTGTGTATATACACACATATATACACATGCACACACACACATATATACATACATATATGTGTGTGTGTGTGCATATATATATATATATATATATATATATATATATATATATATATATATATATATATATATATATATATATATATATATATATATATATATATATGTGTGTGTGTGTGTGTGTGTGTGTGTATATAAATATATATATATATATATATATATATATATATATATATATATATATATATATAAATATATATATATATATATATATATACACATACACACACACATTCATACATTTATATATACATACATACATATATATACACATACATATATTCATACATTTATATATACATACATACATATATATACACATACATATATATATATATATATATATATATATACATATATATATATATATATATATATATATATATATATATATATTTTTTTTTTTTTTTTTTTTTTTTTTATAGCAGAATATAAAATGAAGACATTTTAGAGACAGGTTTTTTTTTATTAACTTTGAAAATTTGAGAAAATATTGTTTCTCAAAGACACATTTAAGTAAAACAACCAAGTTTTCAACATGCTAGTGTATGGCACATTAAATAAATATTTCTAAAGTGTAACATGATGCTTTCTTTTAGAGATAATTTTTGTCATCTAAACACAAACAAAGTTCTTAAATGTCCTCAATTGAGCGTAACAAACAATGCTGCAATCTAACTACAGTGTTCTTGCGCATTTTAACTACTAACATTCCATGACTTTTCCAAGAATTTCAAGTACATTTTTATGACCTAATGTTTCATGCAATGTGAAACATGTTAAAATTTATTACAGCATATCGTGAAACGCGCAACAATCTATTTAGTTTCAATTTATATTTATTCATTCATTTTCAGCGTTGTCCCTTTATTAATTTGGGGTCGCCACAGTGGAATGAACCACTAACTTTTCCAGCATATGTTTTATGCAGCGAATGCCCTTCTAGCTGCAAAACACCACTGGGAAACATCCTTAAACACTCATTCACACACATACAATACGGACAATTTAGCTAACCCAATTCACCTGTACCACATGTCTTTGGACTTGCGGAAGAAAGCAGAGCACCCAAAGGAAACCCACGCCAACATTGGGAGAGCATCCAAACTCCACACAGAAATGCCAACTGACCCAGCCGAGGCTCGAACCAGTGACCTTCTTGCTGTGAGGTGATTGTGCGACCCACTGTGCCACCCGATTTATTTTTATATCTACGTAAAATTGATTTGGATAATGCTGCTTACACCGCACTAATTATGTGAGACTATGTGATTGTCCAAGGACAGAAAATAATTAAAGACAACTAATCTATATTCAAGTTTACAGATATCCGTCTTCCATGACTTTTCCAAAACTTTTCCAGGTTTTCCATGACCGGGTGTCCTGGAGGGCCGGTGTCCGTTATATTTTAGCTCCAACTTGCCTCAACCCACCTGCATGGATGTTTCTAGAAAGCCTATAAGAGCTTGATTAGCTAGGCCAGGTGTGTCTGATTGGGGTTGGAACTAAAGTTTGCAGAACACCGGCCCTCCAGGACTGAGTTTTGGATACAGCATGCCTGCTGTAACAAGTCTAAAGCAGTTTTGCTCTTTTACAGTACATCTGCAGTACTTGTTTTTGGTGAATTGTGCTGATATGATGAAATAGGACAAAGGTCCTGCTACAAAAGGGACAGTTCACTCAAAAAAATGGAAATCGTTGGAAGGTTGTTTCTTCTGTTGACCGAAATCAAAGCATTGTTAAAATTATTGATTTAGCCTGTAACTACTGATATCCATAGTATTTGTTTTTCCTACTATGAATGTCATTCAAAATATTCTTGTTTGTGTTCAACAGCAAAGAGAAACTCAAAGATTTGAGGCAATAGTGAGTAAATGTTCATTTTTGTGTGAACCATCCTTTTAAGAAGCATTAGTGTTGATTGATCACAAGTGGATGGCACTAATACAGATGTAAAGATGGTCTGAAACATTTAAAGCTTGTCCGATTTCGAGAGGTAGTCAAGAATGCATTTGATCGTATTGCGTTCATGGTGGATAGTGCCCACTAAAGATCATATCCTCTTGTCATGCTAAACTAATTGTTAAAAAATTACTCTTCTTTTGAAATAGGCTCCAAGTTAAGTCCCTAAGTTAAACCGTTGAATCTCTTCAGCCGATCTCTAGGTCTGGTCCGGGACTTTTACCTTAAATGATTGAATCAGATTAGTCCATTAGCGGCTTCCATTTATGGCCATTATAGAGTAAAGCTGCGGTCACACCAGAGTTTGAGCTTGCGAATTTCTGTCGTACGGTGCTGCGAAAAGGGGAGCGATTAAACAAGATGATAAGACATTAAAAAAAGCGAGCGATTGGTCCATGTTTTAAATTCCTGTCCAGACAGGTCATGTTTTGATCCTTAATTGGTCTCAAGCAGTCAAGTGATGCGATTTTGCAGGTCAGCAATCTGCGAAAATTGACGCACGAGCTTGCGTTTCCGGCCTGACACATTCGCATGAGTATGAATAGAAGTCTATGGGGAGAAAAGTCAAGTGTGACCGCAGCTTAATATGCAAAAAGCTTCACAGAATCTTTTTTTGACATCTTTGGCCAACTTTTAAAGATGCCTTTTAAGAAAATATTAGGTTAGTCTATTAGCATCTCGCTCAAAACAAAAAAGTTTGGATGATTTTCCCATTTAAAGCTTTATACTTCTGTAGTCACATTGTGTAGATCCACAAAAACTGAAATGTTTCTGTTTTAAAGACTGATTCAGTATGTCTTGACCCAGGTAGCAAAGAATTCTGGCCCAGATTTGGCATAAATCTGACACAGCTGGAGGCATTCATCCGGCACTGGCATACAGCATGTGGGCCAAACATGGCCCAGGTTTGGCAGAGATGGCACTGACTTTAAGTCGGCACACACCTTTGGGCCAGATGTCAAATGTAGTATTTGGCCCAGATGTTAATAACTGATGTGTGGACCAAGTAAGTTTGGCCTGTCTTGACCCACATTTCAAATACATTTTTATTATTTTCAATAAAGAAAAAATAAACTCTACCAATCAGGTCACTTCGAGAAAAAGCACGCCCACAGCACGCTTAAAAGTGCAATGATTCACAGGTTTATCAATTTCATTGCAAGTGTGACACACCAACATGGTTCAGGCTCTGTTATGGGTATTAAACTTAGCTGAGACTTGGCCCAGACATGGTCCACATTTGGCCCTTGTCTGGAAGCCATGTCATGTACCGTAGCTCATTACGGCATGTGGGTGGAACGAAAGCTGATTGTGTGGGCCAGAGATAATATGCTATGTGGGGATATTTATATAAATAGGAAACTTATCGCAACTCTTTGAAAATTTTCGAGCTGGCTGCTAACACTCAAATCTGATTCAGTCATCTATGCTAAGCTAAGCTTAAAGTGGTCTCACCAAACTTGCAGACCAGCTGAATGAAGGTTCAACTCTAGCAAAGTTGTTGTTAAAAGACAAGGCTAGAACATTGCCGTCTGAAACTGCATTGAAAAAAAACACAAATGTTCTTTTACCAGTTAACGCAACTGATTCAGTATTCACTACTTTTTTTTTTCTCATCAAAAAGCTTCATGAACAATATTACTGTAAAATCAAAAGATTGGAAAACAATCACATACACACACTTACACACACACAGTAAAGCCGCCATAGACAAATCCCTTCAAGAAGTCAGGAAAGTAGTTAAAAGTCGACAAACACATTTAAACTCCAGGGGCTGGATACGCACAAAAACTTTGCGTACGCCAGGTTTCACACTCACGTTTGGATTTACTAACGATGTAATGAACGTGCGCTGTTCCACGCCAACTTCATGCCTGGCGAACGTGCATTTCTTGAGTATTTTTGTTTTATTTCCATTGGCGACTCCAAGAGGCAATTGTGTTAAATCGCACACTACAAAGTATCTTTGAGCCGTGCAATGGCAGCTATATGGGACAAAATCATCTGCATGTCTAGCTGGTACATAAGGTTTCCATACCATAGAGTTGGCTAGCCAAACATTAAAGTGCAACTTGCAGCGATCGCCGGTTTTCCAAACGTAATCGGAGCGATCGACTGCACATGTATTGCTATAAAGGCGCCATCTGAGACGAATTTGCATCTGTGAATCGGAAACATTTCCATTCAATAAATGTGCAAATAATATGCAATGCTTAATGCGCTTAACATAATACACACACTTATTAATGATTCCTACTTGTGTTTCTCGTGATGAAGAGTAGGCAAAATCTCATATGTAGTGGGGGACAAAATAAGAATGAGTTCATCTGACGCTGGACTCGAATCGGGTTCATGAATGATAGTGTCAAAACATGTTGCCATGCGCTATACTAGCTACGCCACTCGCACTGCTAATGGCCTTCTTCTTTAGCTTTGTTGTTTCTGCCGATGAAATTGCTCATTCCAACAACAAACTTGCAAATAACAGTTTTTCTCCAGTCTACCTCCGAAAGCAGCACCTCCAATTCACATTCTGTTCAAAGTTTCTCTTTTTGCTTGCTTTTGCCATTGCTTTTTGGTTTGGTTTTGCCAAAGTAGAGGTATTAGCATATTCATACGGGGGAGGAGGCAGGGAGGGGTTTTGCGCTTGTGCATGTTGCGCTCAGTTTCACGTTAGTTCTTATGTACAAAGAGAATATGCATACGCAGTGTTTCATACATATGAATTTTTTACTGCGTACGCACTTTTACAGCTTTGTGTACACGCAATGTTTTCGTATGAACTCAACGCAAGTCTTCGTACATGAGGCCCCAGGTGTAAATGCTGGGAGACAGACGGCTAGTTGGTTTGGTGTTCCACACATCGCCTCTTATTGGGTTAAAGTTGGATCGAATTTCCCCGATTCAGCATGTAGTATTGGTGCTGGTCATTGGCTGAAGAGAGCTCTGAAATTCAGCAATGAATCAGAGCATGAGAAAAAAACTGAACTGACATACCAAAGTAAACAATTCAAATCAAGAAGCAACACAAATAAAACAAATTAAATTTCACTAATATTTCATTCAGAGTTTTGCAAACGTTAAGGATTATTCGATTTTTTGGCAAGTTTGCGCATTTACATTATGCACATTTCATCTTCTGGTTTCCGTTTGAGGAATGAGAGAACAGACGAACGCAGAAAGCCGTGTTCACTCTCACAGGCACAGAATAAACTCTCGTTTCAGTCGGCTGTCGTATGTTTGGTGTTCACATGAAGCATTTTGGTCCAGACGACACCAAACACAAGCCAACAACACAGTTGGTTTCATCTGAACTAGTTATTTGGCCTTATCTCAGTGTGTCCCGGCCCTAAGATGGGAATGTGCCTCCTTTGTCTGCTTGTGATGCAAGGTTTTGGACAGCAGTAATATTAGGTTCATTTGTTTTTCTGTGCTGCCTTCTAAACGCATTCTCCAAATGTCATTAGTTCTTTTGTCCTAAACAACACCTCAAGCAAAGCATCCTTGCACACTTGTTTAATTGATCCTCCTGTGTCCAGTCTTCTATACTTTACTAGTGCAGATGGCAGGTGTCCTCTCACACCCGTAGAGAAATGTAGCGGCGATGACCAGCATCGCACCCAGGAAGAACACACTACAAAGGAAAGAAACCATATTATTTCTGAAGCTGTGCAGTAAGTGGGCCATTCTCAAAAAACTGTGCCATCTATGACAGAATATATTAGGGCTTTTTAAAATAATTTCATTTGAAAAGGTCACCGGTGATTTGAGGCTGAGACTTAAAGATAGCAAAGCCATAGCCAGCATCAACAATATTCAGATTTAGGGTTTCTGCAGGTTTCATTAAGTAAATTTTAAGTCTTTTAAAGACCCTTTTATGATCATTATGAATGAAATTTTAGACTTATACACTGCTAAACACTAATGATTATTTTTTTGAGACATACTTTGATGTGTCAATACAAGAAAATCCTAGTTGTTTACACTATTTTCAACATTTATATATATATATATATATATATATATATATATATATATATATATATATATATATATATATATATATATATATAAAATGTTAAAAATAATGTAAACAACTAGGATTTTCTTGTATTGACACATCAAAGTATGTCTCTAAAGTATGTGTCCATGTGAATGAAAGTGCCAGATGAATTTGCAAGCTGTCAAAAACATTTCTCTGCCCTTAAGCTGCGTCCCTTAAATGTTTCATTAAGTTTGACGTGTTTCCCTCCGTTTGTAAGCGTCTGCTTCACGTTCCTCTGTCAGAATCCTTGCTTGTTAAATACAGCCATAGTTTAGAATGCTTAGTTCAAGCAAATTTGATGAATGCGATCATGCAGTTTGATGGCTTGGTAAATGGGATACTTTGGCACAATTTAAGCATGTAAAGCAGGGCAACTGATGGTAACTGACAAACATTTCAGTCTAGCCACGAGACACATTTAACAAACTAAGGTGTTGTAACAGACCACAAAACAAACAGCTTTGTGTTGATCTTCTCCATGACGTGCTAATTTGTACATTTCTTCATCCGCTAATAAATGAAAACTTATTTCCTTGAACAGCAAAGTGCTATCAAAACATTGCTGTTTGTTGAAGCATCCCAACCAGTTCCACACACTGACAATGACAAAAGCAATGGGTGCGTTTAGGGTGTGATCTTTAGGCAAAGTTAAATATGGTTATTATCACTTTTTATTGTCTGTTTAATGTGTGCACACACTCATACAGGGATATGCAGCATATGGTGAACTTTACCAGCATTACAGTAAAGCTGCAATGTATTGAGAAAAAAAATAGGTCCCACTTTATATGAAGTATCTTTAACTAATGTTTACTTTAATGAAAATATAAATACAAAATTGTGAATACAATGTGTTTTTGTAATACTGCTATTGAGATGGGATATGGGTAAGGTTATAGAAAGGTTTGGGTAGGTTTAAGGGTGGGTTAGGGTGCAAGGGATGCTCAACAGTGCAAATATAAATGTACTTACAGAAATAATTACAGATGTAATTATATGCAGGTATTTAATCAAGCATAAGCACAATGTAAAAGCATGTATTAACACAATAAGAACACTACCGGTCAAACGTTTTTTTTTCAAGGCGGCATTTATCAAATGTATTAAAATATGTTAAATTGTTAATATTTTGTTAATATTTATTATAATTTTAAATAATTTCTTATTGTGTGTAGTTTAAAATGAAATAATTACTCCAGTCTTTATTGCTTTTAATAATATTACCATTAATAAGATTAATAATAATAATAGTAATAATAATAATAACATTAATAATAACAATAATAATAACATTAATAATAACAATAATAATAACATTAATAATAACAATAATAATAATAATAACATTAATAATAATAATAATAATAACAACAACAACAACAACAAATATTAGAGTGATTTCTGAAGGATCATGTGACTCTGAAATCTGAAAATTCTTCTTTAAAATTATTGGAAAAATAAATAATTAAATTAAATTATAATCTACTTTTGAGCACCAAACTTTTACTTTTACTGACCCCAAACTTTTGACCCGTAGGGATGTAATGAATTACAAAATGTCAGTGCAGGTACATATTCCTTAGGCCACTTAATATAAAGTGGGAGCAACTTTTGAATTAGATATGCCAATATATAAATAACTATAGTGTGATAATGAACCAAGTGTGCCGCAAGCCTGCGTTTGAGTGAAGGTCTCGGCCGTTAGATCGCCCCTTGGGGGCTGGCTGCAGTACAAGTCATAAAGCCCGCCTCCTTCGTGTTAATGAAGGAGACTTGAGCCCAAATAAAAAAAATTTATTACACTTGCAATAAAATGTCCCGAAAGATGGTTCTGGTCGATTAAGGCACTGGCTATTGTGCTGAAATAGGTGCAGATCTTCATTTTTGTAAACAGTTTGTTTTTAGCAGTAATTTAATGCTGGGCGTGTCATCGTGATTGACAGCTGTGATTGACAGTTTCTCAAAGCAGCGCGTCTGAGCTTCGGCAGGAGACTGAAGTGTCATTATTCGATTTCTGTGATTTTTTACCATGACAAAATGAGTTCAGCAGTAAACTATAGTTTCTGACATACATGATCCTGGTGGAACACTGTTTATTCGCTAAGGTCAGGGCTTTTTTTGGGCTTTATTAGTTTGCTGATACACGCCTAACCACCCAGATAGCAAAATACACTCGGGCCAGTTCCGGCTAGATTCTCGCCTGCCGGAGACTTACCCCTCAGAGCTCAGACTGACTACCTCTGCTGGACCTACTCCGGATGCCTGGACTCACTGCCCGATTCCAGCCCGAGTCAATCGAGCCAGATGCGGCGGCCGAGCGAGCCGGCGCTGCCGCATGCGAGCCGGAATCAGCCCGCGACGCCGCGAGTATGTTATGCGCTGCGACCCGGAGCTGGCGCGATTGAATATATAAAACCCTCATATTTGTTAACGTTATTACATCCATTTGTGTTGATATGACAGCAAACGCATGCTGAGAAGTTCGGGGGGCGTGGTTTATTTTACATAAAGCGTTTGGTTGGAAGCTCGACTCATTTTCGCGGCTCCTCCTCTGGCTCCATCAGACAGTCCTTCTGCGCATGTCAAGGCTCCAATTTCAGCAGTCTTTTGCGACAGTTTGTGCCCGTCAAGCAGGCGTTTCGCCCTCAAGGCGTTCAATGGGAAAAGGGGCTGTCGCGTCGTCCATATTTTTTACAGTCATTGTAATGAACATGCACAATTTTTATATCCTGGGCTTTTCAAAATAGCAGGAATAATTATGAATTAAACATTTTTTTTTTATTATTGATTGACTTTTGATAATAATAGTAATAATTCCTTACATTTATATAGCGCTTTACACATAGGGGGGAATCTCCTCATCCACCACCAGTGTGCAGCATCCACCTGGATGATGCGACGGCAGCCATTTTGCGCCAGACTGCACACCACAGAGGAGACAGAATGATGAAGCCAATTATGATATAGGGATGGTTATGATATGTGGATGGTTAGGAGGCCATGATGGACACAGGCCAGTGAGCAAATTTGGCCAGGATGCCGAGATGAAACCCCTACCCTTTTTTTAAGGACATCCTGGAATTTGTAATGACCACAGAGAGTCGAGACCTCGGGTTAACGTCTCATCCGAAAGATGGTGCTCACTGAGTAGTATAGAGTCCCCGTCACTATACTGGGGCATCAGACCCACACAGGCCAACCAAGCTTTCCCATGTGGTACAGGTACAGTGGGTGACCATGTGAGAGTTGCAGAGAGCTAGCTGCCGGCTATTGATGATATGATATTGATGATGATATTAATATTGTATTTGCATTGCAGTTGGTATTCAAAACAGCGGCAAATGTTTGTAGGCTAAATAGTTTTTTTTTATGCTAACATAGTAACTGTGATGAATTAATAACAACGGATAAAACAGATTAAAGTTAATAATTTGCGATCAAAAAGCAAGAGACAGAAGGTGATTTTTTTAAATAAGGCTTTAAAGCACCGAGGGAAAAACATGACCTAATATGTTAAGGCAGACCATTCAACAGACGGGGGGCTGTAACAGAAAAAGCTGTCACCTCTTGATTTCACCCGTGTTTTGGCAACAACAAGCTGAACCTTGTTTTCAGCCAAGAAGCTCACCAATGTAAATAGGTGCCTGACCGTTTAGTTGCAGTAGTCCAATCTGGACATGATAAACACATTAATGATGGTTTCCAACTCTTTAAAAGACAGAAAAGGTTTATATTTGGCAATGTTTCTTAATTGATAGAAACCACTTTTGATGGTTGAATTTATTTACTTCTTAAACTTTAACTCGGTGTCAAAGATAACTCCAAGACTTTTTGCATGATTGTGATCACGCATTCACAGTAATAAGCACAGGGAAACACATGGCACAGTTTTAAGAAAGATCCAACTATAATCCCAGAGTTAACGTGACTGTATTACCTAGTCGGGTCGAAATCGTCCAATAAGAAATATGAGATGAGGGTGGACAGAATGATTGAGATGGATGTGGCGAAGCCCTTCAGGATGTTATCTGCATACTTGATGACAGCTGCAATGACCAACCCACCTAAAGCCTACAGGAAGCAGTGAGAAAGAAACAAAATATATGGGTCAGCGTATGTCAGAGCTTCCGGTTGGCACTATGGGGGGCAGTTACCACATATATAAATAAAAAGCATTTTTAAAAACATTTTAGGGTCGATAGCATTAGCCTTCTTAAGCAATATATATTTTTTTCAATTGCCTACAGAACAAACCGTTGATACACAATGATTTTCCCAATAACCCTAAAGCTGAGTTCAGACTGCAGGATTTTTAAAATAGTCGTGTCACGGATGTTTTCACACTGCAAGACTACCTGGGGTAGCGTTCTGTTGCTACTGTGTTTACACTGCAGGATGGATTGGCGGCAGGGGGTTTCACACTGCATGACTTTACAATAGGAAGAACAGCCGACAACTTTGTCAACAAACTACGTCTCACAACTAAAAACACGCGAGAAGTGACATGGAAACAACGCACGTCACGTAGTACATCATTTGTTATTAACTACATAATGAGAAAGAGATCTTTAGTGAGGTAGAAAATGTACTTATTTTCAGGGTATATGCAGGAATCCTAAAGGAAATTTCAATACCTTTTTAAGACTTTTTAAAGACCTCATCACTACTTCAAGTTCTAATCAGTATCAAACTTTTAACTTAATAAACAGTTGCAGGTAAATAAATGAATGGAGCCTAACCATGCAACAAAACTCATATAAGCTTGGAAGAAACAAACCTTGAAAGAATAAATTACGTGGTTGTTTTTAGCCACTGTTTAAATTCGTCTTTCTCCAACCAGGAGTAAACTTGCCGTCTGTTTTGCTCTATGGCAGGGCTATTGTACTAGTTTGTCATTGGGGCCAGTTCATGAAAAGCATGGCCGGAGAGATACAGAATGACTAGCAATATAGATGATGACACAACAGCAATATAAGAGCCCATATGCTGTATTTTTGCTCCTTAAGACACCCGCGTTGTATTTTTCTACATTAAAATGTTAATATATAGTATTTAGAAACTACATAACATCACTGCATTGTACAATGTGGCCTTTTTGTTTTTTACAAATACTCCAATGTTGTATTTCAAAGCACAAAAAAGCAGTGCATTGCTTAAGTAGGCTTCTTCTACACTCAAACACATTCATATGTTGTGTTTCGAACAGCATAACAATTAGGGATGCAACAATTATAGGTTTTGCTTGTACGATCATATAGTCTGAAGAGTAATCATGGTTTCACGGTTATCACATCTAATGTAAATGTAAGCTTTATATTTGGTCAGTATTTAAATGAACGGTTATTATTATCTGCGTTCATACGTAATCATTTTTATAATTTGTAATAATTTGTCTAACATAACTTTGTTTACATTGCACTGAAAGCCACTTCTCACCGATATGGATGTTTTTTACTTGCGCACACATATTGGTATATATTCTAATATTGGAAGTAACGAACTTACACGTGAAAAAGACGCGATATGTGAATGGCCCACTGCTATAGTTAACCCAGTGTGTGTGCGTATTAGCCTTGGTGTAGCTATAAGCTCGGATGTTTAAACTAGCGCACATTACTTTGTTTAGTTGCAGCGGTTTCGTTCTTTGCAACAGAAACGTGGCAATGATGAGCCTTTAAGCTTAAGTATCCAAATGTTGGTCCCACTTTATATTAAGTGTCCTGACCTACTAAGTACTTACATAAAAAAATACAATGTACTTACTGTGTTTATAATGTATTTGAGAACACTTGTGGTGCTTTTGAGTTGGGATAGAGGTTGCGTTATGGACAGGTTTGGTGGCATGGGTAGGTTTAAGGGTGGGAGAAGGTGTAAGGGATGGTCAACAGTGTATTTACAAATGTAATAACAAAAGTTAATTACAGATGTAATTACATACATGTATTTAATCAAGCATAAGTACACAGTAAATACATGTATTTACACAATAATACATTGTAACAAACTATTAATTCCTGTGTAAGTACATATTAGTTAAGGCCACTTAATATAAAGTGGGACCCAAATGTTTTTGGCCCGTGCTGTATTGAACAGACGCACGTCACTTCATAACTACAGCGGCCATTTTTCGACTGAACTAAATTTATTTTTGATGTCTTGGCCACACTATTTGGAGGACCGGAACAAATTGCCTTGCGGGCTGCCAATTAAAAAGCCCTGCTCTATGGTTTCGCTACATGTGGAAAGCGTCACACCACCTTCAAGTGTTTGTCGTAAATTACGTGACATCACTCGGACAGAGGAGCTTGGCTGGACGCACCCAGCCCCGAACCAATCGAGGACAATAAATATATTAATGCTTTTTTGGAGTCAAACACTTTGGACAATGGTTGAAAAACATTTAAGACCTCGTAAAACGGGATTAAGACTTTTAAAAACCTTTTAAGGGCCTTAATTTTCTTAAAATTGATTTATCAACTTTTAATACTTTTTAGGAGCGATGCAGTGGCGCAGTAGGTAGTGCTGTCGCCTTACAGCAAGAAGGTTGCTGGTTCAAGCCTCGGCTGGGTCAGTTGGCGTTTCTGTGTGGAGTTTGCATGTTCTCCCTGTGTTGGCATGGGTTTCCTCCAGATGCTCGGGTTTCCTCCACAGTCCAAATACATGCGGTACAGGTGAATTGGGTAGGCTAAATTATCAGTAGTGGATGAGTATGTGTGGATGTGTCCCAGAGATGGGTTGCGGCTGGAAGGGCATTTGCTGCGTAAAAACATGCTGGATAAGTTTGCGGTTATTCCACTGTGGCGACCCCGGATTAATAAAGGGACTAAGCCAAAAAGAAAATGAATGAATGAATAATACTTTTTAAGACCCCGCGGTCATTCTGATTTTGCTAGCCGGAATGTTGAAGGAAATTAGCAATTTCTCCTCAACTTTTTCGACCCACTTATGATATTGCTCAGATGAAACATCAGACACAAGTACTTCTGCCAAATTTTCATTAGTTTTTCCTCCATTTTTTGGGTCCAAAAAGACCGAAAAGAAGTACTTTAACCTTCTCCTCAACCTAATCCTAACCAAATTCTGGCCTGCAGATACCCATACTAGTAGATGCTGCTCTCTCATTGGCTGTAGCTAATCAGTACACATTTCACACAGCATGATTTAAATCACAGACAGCGACTCATCTGCGATTCTTTCAGAACGCACCCTTGATAGTTCACTCTGTGTGATTGATATCTTCGTGAACTAACACTGGTTTACCTGTGATTTCAGGCATTTGTCAGGGATTTCTCAAAACCTGTTTGAGAGTCAAAATCAGAGCTAAAATCATGCAGTCTGAACTCAGCATGACTTGCCTAGTTACCCTAACTAACCTAGTAAAGCCTTTATATTGTTCTTTAAGCTGAATTCTAGTAGGCTTATCTTGAAAAATACCTGCTTGTTAGCATAAGCTGTTTAAAAAAGGTTAAATTTTTTATTAATTATAAAATTAATTTTATTTTCATAGATCACATGATGTTACATACCAAAATAATACAATATTTTCAGCAAACAGTTGCGGTGCTCCGATTAGGATTTTTGCAGCCGATACAGAGTACTGATTCCTTGTTATGATGATCGGCAAATACAGAGTATCGATTCTGATCCTTTAAGCTTTAAAATGCATAAAGCACATTTCCGTCTAAGTATGATACTTAAGTGGAATTTTCTCCTTACCTAAAAGAATAAATTAAGGATGCTGCATATAATCCCTTTAATACATCTCTTATAACCATTTAGTGTGGACAAAACACTAGATATACAATGGCTGCAACAAAGAAAGTATCACTCGTGCAATAAACAGAGGTCACACCACATCTGTATATATTTTATTTAGCTGTTGTGACACGAGCACAGTGACCGCTCATGCCCCCACGCATAATTTAGCTGCTCGCTTGTTTTAGCACTTCGGGTATATATTGCGGGTTTGCACGTGCCTCTTCCTACGCATTTTAACTCATAAACAAAAACTTGCAATCGGTTGGTGAGATCGGCCAGATTAGCGGGTACCGATAGAGTCATGAAATGTGATTATCGGCCGATACTGATCTCTGGCTGATCGATCTGAGCATCCCTAGCAAACAGTGTCATATATTGCCAAAAATCGTGAGTTTTTGATGAATTTGTGAGTATTTTTCATCATGCACCGTTGTGTAATTAAAATATTTGCTATTTTACTTTTCTTTTGGCAATATTTAATTTTTTGTATTTATAAAAGCTCTAAAAAGTCACTTTTCCAACATTATAACAATACATTGACTAAAAATTGCTTTTATCTAACAAAAATGAAATGTCTGTAAATCTTGAGCTAATTCTGTTACCATACCATATTTTGCCTTTAAATTGGTGGAATCACAACCCACAATTGTGAAAAACAAAATCTCTCGCTGATAAGATGTGAAGCAAAGACAGGTGTGTGTGCGCGTGTGTATGTGTGTGTGTGTGTGTGTTTGTGCTCGCTCTAAGAAAATTTTATTCAAAAAGATCTCTTTTTAAATGTAACAATTTACAATAGACAACACTGTTACCACAGTTTCAAAAAGCAAACAGCATATGTCATTAATTCCGCATTGGCATACCTGCAAACATTCGGATTATAAAATCTGAGAAATTTTATCTGGGGGTGCGCGCAAAGTAAAGTGCGGGGAGGGCGCGCGAAGTAAAGAGCTTGAGGGGAAGGTACGCGCAAACTGAAGAGAGGGGAGCGGGTATGAAGATGGTGGTGTGTTGGGTTCGGTGCGCATTGGGACTGAACTAATAAACATGCCGGACTGTACCAAATATGCTAAGGATCGATGTTGGGGGTGAGGAAAGGGGGGGAAGGTTGGAGAGAGATGGGTCTGAAATATGGGACACTCCTGGGAAAAACTGGAGTGTTGGCAGGTATGCACATCGGACAGTTATATTTAATCGGACAGTTAATATTTAAATCCTAATTTCATTACTGTCAGCTCCTAGCATTTTGCTCTTTGGCAAAAGTTGTTACCTATTTAGTGGAACAGAGTTAACAGTATGTAACAGAGTTATGTCTGTGTGCACTGCAAATAAGTTTCTAGTCCAAATATCTACAAAATCATTTAAACAAGAAGCATTGTCTAGACAATCAAAAATACTGGCTTGTTTTAAAGAGCCCCTGTTATAGGTGTTTGAAAATGAACTTCAATGCAGTGTGTAACACAGCTCTAAATGGAGTGAAATATCCAGCTAGAGCTTAAATCTGAAAGTGCGCTGTGATTAAAACTATTGATTCATCTATAAATGACTCATAGTGGTTTAAACGAATCGCCAGTGTAAAGAGTCTTTAGCCATGCCGGAGTAATGTAGCCAGGAATCTCAAGCCGTGGGAAAATTGAAACCCCCGCTCACAAACACTGTAGAAAGAAAAAGATGAAGACAAACACTGTAGCAGATCCCAGCTGAATCATGTCGCGAAGATGCTGTGCTCTGAAGTGTGAGGGAAAGTTAGTGTTATTTTCCCTACCCAAAGATAAGGCTGTGAAGAGCCAGTGGTTAAAGTTTATTTTTGCAAAAATGCCTCAGCATTATAGCCTCAGCCTTGTGCTGTGTTCCTGTTATTTTTCTGACGAGTGCTTCAGCAATCTGCACGCTTACAATGGGTAAGGATTAAAGGAAGGATCAGAAAAGACTACTGATGTATGGGACTTTGTCAGAGCTTGACAGGAACTTTAAAGTACACACTTCATGGATCATTGTAAGTGTAAGTAAGTGTGATTAAAATTGTTGCCTCCTTGTTTTCTCTAGCTTGCAAATGATGTATTTAATTGTATTTTTTTACATGTAACCGCTTGTACTGTATCTGGTTAACTCTTTATATTCTCATATCGTGTCTAAAACCATGTTGAAAATTTGACGCATGCCGCTTTGTGAATTTGTGATCTACTGCTTTTTGTCATTGCTATGGCCACCATCAGCTGTTCCTACACACATGCAGATTAATACTAAATGCGTGTCATGGTTAAGAATAGAGCAGTATGCTGGTGTTTAACTGCATTGCTTTAATGCACTCCTGCATTGGGCTCATGCACACACTCTGACTACTTGTTGATAAGACGTGCTGGGCATTTCTCTCAGTCTCACGCGGAACACAGTGATCCGATCACAACAGACTGGGTCATCGGACCAATCAGCACAGATTAGCATCGTGCTAAGAAAGGGTTTGGGAATAAATGAATCGCTGAATGAATCATATGGGAATCGTTGGCATGATTAGGTAACAATAAATGTATATTACAAGACAATGAAAGTGTTTTTTGACCTTGCATGCTTATCAACCTGTTGTTGGAGACCCCAAAACCAAAATATGACCATGAATGCATAATAGGGGATTTTTAAGAAATAATGTGTTAAAATCAAGGGAGTTTTTCCTTAAAACAAGCTAAATAAGTTAGAAACAAGTAGTAAATGATGACGATATTTTGGGTGAACTATAACTTTAAGACCTTTTCACAACAAAAGTGACTTGAGATTTATTTATGACTCAGAAACTCTGTAATATCTGCCTGACATTTTTGTATTCTGAACAGGAAGTGAAAGTGTACCTGAAGAGCCACCACAGACCATGTCACATTGTTATAACCTTGAAAGAGTCCGTTCTCCAGCACTCTTTCTCTATCGTATGTAAACACTCCTCCAAATCCAAAAACAAGTCCGAATAAACCTAAGAAGGTAAGAGAAAACGAGTGATGAACCACTTCTGAATAATGCAAACACACATTTTTTGAAACCGGAAGTAGAAATTTGTTAACAATGGCTACAATATAAATAAGTTACCATATGAAAATGTTTCTTTAAAGGTTATCTACTGACCTAGCTGAATATTGCGGACCCAGACACTCTGCTTGCTCTCTTTGAGGATCTTTTCAAAATAAACACCAGCGAATCCACTGGAGAAGCAGGCCACAAGCACAGCCAGCAGTCCAATCAGCTGAGAACTGGCGGTCAAATCTTTTTCACCGGTGCTCGATGAGACTTCAGTTGGCCACTGTTAGGTTTTGTTCAAACAGAAAGAAAGAGTCATACACACTTTTAACAGAGGGTGCCAAGGAGGGTCCACTGAAAAGTTTAAAAAAATAATGACTTAATTAAAAATAATTAAATGATACACATAAGATTAAATAATAAAATAGAATGTAAATTTGTAATAATTAACAATAATTAAAAAAAATAAATACATTATACATTAAAACAAATAAATAAATAAACAAACATTATAATAAAAAATAAATATCTAAAAGAAAAACTATTGATATAACAGCAATGAATTATAATGCACAGGAATTGGGTCTTTATACAAACAAAACTATAATATACAGCTGTCTTGTAAGATATGCAGGCAGCATTTTAGACATCATATTTAAAACTTTATTTTTATTGAAAAAGGGAACCATTGAATGTTCTGTAACAAATCTAGTGTGTGGAAAAAAACACATTCACAAATACTGACAGTAAAAATACTTCACTGATTGCCAATTTTAAAAGTTGAACAAAAACAAATTTAGTTAAAATTATGTTAAAATGATATTTCTCTGGGTTTGTTGTTCTTACCACATTTAACAGTTAAATTTACATTCTTGTGCCTTTGTCTATATTATTATTATTATTAGTAGTAGTAGTAGTAGTAGTATTAAAGAGCCCATATTATACATGAAAAAGGGTCATATTTCGGTTATATGGATCTCCAACAACATACTGAAATGCATGCAAGGTAAAAAAAAAACACTTTCATGGTCTTTTAATCTGCATTTATTTTTACCCCATTATCCCAGCGACTCCCATATGAATCGTTCAGCGATTCATTTGTTCCCAGATCCCTCCTTAGCGCGAAGCTAATCTGCGCTGATTGGACCGATGACAGCCTGTTGCGATTGGTCGACAGCGTTCAACGCTAGACAAATGCTCAGCGCGGTTTGTCAAGCCCCCGGTGGACGAGCCCGCGCGATAACCCTGTGACCGTCATAACCCCCCGCACGGGAAGTATGAACCGCACTTAGCAGTGAAAATGAAACCGATTGCGTGCACATCATTTACTGAGCCTGATTTCCGTGACCGAGCTTTTCTCCCTTCTCAGCTGTAACTTAGATCAAATATTTATTAGATCAATTATTGCTGTGGCACCTCTTGCATGAAGTGGTATATGTTCTCAGGGCTTAACTGTACTCTGCTTTGCCCAAAGATCCCATCTCCAGGCAGGGGGTTGTAGTGCTCACCAGCGCTTCTCCTCAGCGTGTAGCAGGCTGTCTTTGTGCCAAATGAACTGGCCTTATTTTGCACACACCCCTGGTGTATTGTCTGCTCATTCTCACAAGTCTCATACATCAGTCTTTTCTGATCCTTCCTTTAACAAACGAATGAATCGCCCACTGTAAGCGTGTAGACTGCAGAATTAATTATTTCCCCTCACACTTCCAATAATATCCAGGTAAGCACAGCGTCTTCTTGACTCATGACTTCAGCATCTGTTTATCTTCGCTGCTAAGTTAGTGGGCGGGGCGCAGGTTTAAATTTTCCCGGGTTTGCGCCCACAACAATTATGTTTCGTAGTCACGTCACGCCGAAACGGCTAAAGACTCGTTATGAAGACGATTCATTCTAACCACTATGAGTCGACTCATCTTTTTTAGATGAATCAATAGTTTTATAAACTGTCCACCTTCAGATTTAAGCCTTAGCTGGATATTTCACTTCACTTAGAGCTGTGTTACACACTACATGGAAGCTCATTTTCGAAAACCCACAATAGGGGCTCTTTAAACAAAGATGAAAATAATTTACACCACTCTCTTATCAATAAAAAATAATTATATTAACGTAATAATAATGACTAATAATAATATTAATAACATACAAATGGCAACTACCCAAACTATAAGGAAGGAACTAAGTTATCTTTCACCTCACACTCTCAGAAATAAAAGGTACAAAACTTGTTTAACCCAGGCTCATTCTGAAAACAGATCTGTATACATTTCTGGAGACCGCCAAATACGCCCCGGTTTTTTTTTGTTTGTTTTTTGCAGTTTTTATTTTTGCGAATCCACAAGAGGCCGCTGTGTATGCTTTTTGAGATCTCAAATTGATCTTGCGAGTGCCATTAGCGCCTGTTGTTCTCACGTAAATCCACCAGGGACAGTTTGACTGAATGAATGACCAATCGACTGACCCACCTTCCCCCTTCCCTAAACCCAACCAATAGTGTTTTAAAAAGCACAAATTGACCAGCACACCCACTTCCCTAAATTCAACCTACAATTTTAAAAAGCACTTCAGAAAAAGAAAAGTCCTTGTCTGATTTTTACCACGTTTTACCACATTCTCACCATGTTATGTACTTGTTTATTTTATTTTTTAGCTTTTGTTTTTGTATTACCCACTTTCCGAAACCGTTCTTCACCAGACTCAACCCTCATCATCGTGGTCATTTTCTCTTTGCATCTCAAGTCCACCGACGTACATGGTGAGCTAACTAGACAAAGTGGTAACAGCTGGAAAGCCGTCCATACAGAGGTAAGCAGTCAGTTGGTAAGCGTTAAAAGGAAAGGCGCCATACCGCCCTGTAGTGTTCGTTTAAAAAATTATGACATGCAGCCATATGTACTTCTGGCAACATATTACATGATCTCCAGAAATGTATGGAGCTACGTTTTCAGAATGAGCCTATTCTGAACTTAGGCGGTATCCTTTCAAATGGTACATGTTTGTTCCTAAGGTACTAGTTGGTACCTTAACGCAGGGGTTCTCAAAGTGGGGGTCGGGACCCCTCGAGGGGTCGTGGGACAATAAAGGAGGGTCGTCTGGTGATTTAAAAAAAAATCTATTTATTATTATTAAATTATATAAGAATGACCATATTTTATCCATAACCAACAGAAGAGAAAAAATATAGTCGTTTTTAATTACTATATAGTTACTATAGTAGCTTACAGTTACTAGTTCTATTGGATTGCGACCCCAGTGGTAATTACATTACATTAAAGACACAGCAATAGCGTCAGATGCAGCAGATTGATTTTATAACACCAGGTTAAAGTTTCTGGCCCATTTACAGCACTGACATTAAACGAAGAATATCCCTGGGTGTATTGGTGTGTGTGTGACATTGCATGCAAGGTTTCTGTATTCATAGCCAGGATATTGGGGGTCGCGAGTCACTGGCATTGTCATTTTGGGGGTCGCAGTCTGAAAAGTTTGGGATCTCCTGCCTTAACGTTACATATTAGTACCTAAAAACTTCAAATTTCACTAATATATGTAACTTAAGGGTAAGAGCATGGCTCTTCGAGTGCAAGCATGCACCTAGCGAATAGAAATCATCAGTTGATGTTTTTGTACATTTGTATCAGCAGTACTTTTTTCCATAAGCTCATTTAACAGAGATAACTGGAAACAAAAGTCACAAAAGCTTAATCAAATGACAGCAGGTTTCGATGACAGACAAACTAAATAAAACAGAACACTAGACTACTACCCTTACCTGGACAAGAGCAATGCCAAACATTAGAATGACTAGTGAAAGCCACTGGTAAATGCCAAGTCTTTTGCCCAGCATGGACACAGAGAACAGCGCTGTAGTGAGAATTTTCAGCTGATACGTGACCTGAAAAACCAATGAGAATGCCAATTATAAATACAATTAATAAAAATATTAATCAGCAAGACCATTTTCAACATTGAAAATGATAAATGTTTCTTTTGAATTCATTTAAATTGTAAAGATTTTCTGAAAAAATCATGTTTCACTGAAGCCTGGATTAATGATGCTGAAAATCCATTTTTTTTACATGTACAGGGGTTATAGGCTATGGTGTAGTGCCTCCTTTTGCAGCCAATACAGCATCCGTTCGTCTTGGAAATGACAGATACAAGTCTTGCACATTAAGCCATTCTTCTTGCAGAAAAGTGGCCAGGTCACAACGTGATGCTGGTGTAGAAAAACGTTTCCTCTAAAACACCGCAAAGTGAAAGCAGCCTAATAATATTTGGCTCTGGTGACTGTACTGACCATGGGAGATGTTAGCATTTTCACTTTCATGTTCATCAAACCACTCTATCACCAGTCTTGCTGTGTATTGGTGCATTGTCATCCTGATACATGGTACTGTCTTCAAGATCCAATGTTTGAACATTTGAGTGCACATGATTGTCTACAATGGTTCGATAGTGCTTGGCAGTGACCCATCTAGCACAAGGACTGGGCCTAGGAAATGCCATGATGTTGCAGCATCACTGGTCCACCCCCATGCATCACTCTGGGCATTGATCAGTCTAGGTGGTATGCTTCTTTGGTGATCCTCCATACTGTAACTTTCCCAGGTGTGGGAAGGACTGTGAAGGTGAACTCATCAGAGAACAATACATGTTTCACATTGACCATAGCCCAAGATTTTTGCTGCTGGCACCATTGAAATTGACGTTTGGCATTGGCACGAGTGACCAAAGGTTAGGTTATAGCAGCTCGGTCATGTATAGTAACCATGTGGAGCTCCTGACGAACAGTTTTGGTTAGCAACTAGACACCCCCTGCAGACAGCTTCTTCTAGCATCCACAGTTAGTCCTGTTGGACGTGGTTTGTCCTTATTAGTCATATGCTGACATAACCCAGGATAATCTAGCTCGTTATACATTGCTTGATACAACACAAAGACTTGCTCTCCTACAGATGTTCTAGCGAGACAGACACCGACAGTTTGTCCACTTTTGAACTCCGATATGTCACCCATAACTTGTGATTGTACAGGATAACCTCATATTGTGTTTTACATTTCACTGTGCCAAGCCCTGATAAAGAAGGAAGGAAGTAAACAGAAGAGATGTTAACTCTTAATTATTACATGTGATTTGATCTACACTTTCTTTGATCGGCTTATATTTTGCACCCAGGATATCCAGAATCCCTTAGCTCATTCAGGACATGCGCTAGGGCTTACTTTACCGTGATAAATATAAAACACGGATTTGGGTAGCAACTTGCCAATGGCATTTGACATTGTCGAAAGCGTTCTCTCTTACTAGACAAGATATTTGGTGAATTGTAAAGAAAAAGCTAATAACCAATCAAACAATGTTTTACTGAGCTTGTCCAGAGTGTAAAAAACATGATGGAGAACAGGACTTATGAACCATAGAAAAATCACTTTTAAAAAAATCAGCCTGCCAGGTAAAAATACAAATACTTACATAGACATACTGTTAAATTTCCTTGCTCTGTTAAACATCATTTGGAAAATATTTTAAAAAGAAAAACTAAAAATCAAAGGGGGGCGAATAATTCTGACTTCAACTGTATCTGCAAAATGTTGTATGTGGAACCTATGCGGTAACACTTTATAATAACACCACACTATAAATCATTTATTAAGCATTATCAAATGGTGAATTCATTATCTGTTAAGCATTAACTCTACATTAGTAAGCAGTTTATAACTGCAGCTACAAAGGTTCTTTTCTTGACTTATAAGCACCTATATAATGTGCTTAATAATTGTATTTTCATACTTAGTTAATGATTTATTTTTCATTACTAAATTAAGTATTGCATTATTTACAAACCAGTTGTATTTAAGAGTAGTTGAGAGTTTTTAGAATAATTCAGAATGAGTTAGTAAATGATTAATAAACTATTGAAATCAACGTTTATATATCTTTTTATTCAGGCATATATTAATGGTTACTATGTATGTTAGTAAATGCTTTATTAACTCAACTTCATCTAGTTTTGTGACCTAATCTAAAGTGAGGACTATTCATGCTATATAAATCCTTTATAAATGACAAATAAAGGCTCAGTTAAATTCTAAAGAGAAACAATGACATTATTCATTCCTATTCAAATAAAGATACACAAATAAAACTGTACTTCAAAAGAAAAATAAATCTTTGCAACCTTATCTAAAATAAAATCACTGTAGAGTTTAAACATTGCATCTTATTATACAGTATTGTTAAATTATTATATTGTTGTTGCTTTATCCAGTTTTATGTCGTATTTTGACACTCCTGTAATTTGGCAATGTTTAAACTTTACAGTAATTTTACTTTTAGAAAAGATTGCAAAGATTACTTAATTGTCATTTATAGGGGTTTATAAAGCATGAATAGTCCTCACTTTAGATTAGGTCACAAAACTGCATGAAGTTGAGTTAATATAGCATTTATTAACATATTAGTTGACTATTAGTATATGCCTGAATAATAAGACATATAAACGTTGATTTCAATAGTTTATTAATCATTTACTAACTCATTCTGAATTGTCCTAAAAACTCTCAACTACTCTTAAATACAACTGGTTTGTAAATAATGTGATACTTAATTTAATAATGAAAAATAAATCATTAACTAAGTATGAAAATACAATTATTAAGCACATTATATAGGTGCTTATAAGTCAAGAATAGAACCTTTGTAGCTGCAGTTATAAACTGCTTACTAATGTTTATTAATGTAGAGTTAATGCTTAATAAATAATGAATTCACTAGATGCTAATGCTTAGTAAATGAGTCATAGTGTGTAGTTATTATAAAGTGTTACCAACTAGGCTAGTCATGCTTTGAGCTGATGTTCAGAAAGCAAGATTCTTTGTGTTGCAGATACACTATGATGCCAAAAGTTTTGCGACATCTGCCTTGACATGCACATGAACTGCCCAATATTAATCTGTAAGGTTGGATTAATATGGAGTTGGCCTACACTATTGCAGCTTTAACAGCTTATAGGAAGTATATGAGTTTTTCAATAGGGATTTTCAACCTTTCTCCTAAAAACGCTTTTGTAAGGTCAGGTACTGGTGTTAGATGAGAAGGCCTGGCTCACAGTTTTTTTTTACTCTAATGCTTTAATACATTTACTCTTTGCCCTAATACATCAATTTAAGGTCAGGAATCTGTGCAGGCCAGTCAAGTTCCTCCACTTCAAACTTGCTCACCCATGTATTTATGGACCTTGCTTTGTGAAATGGTCAACACAGTCATGTAATGTTGGAACAGGAAAAAGCCATGCCCATAATGTTCTCACAAAGTTGGGAGCATGAAACGGTCCAAAATGTCTTGGTATGCTGAAGCATTAGGAGTTCCTTTCACTGGAACTAAAAGGCCAATAAAACCACTGAAAAAAAAATCCACCTCCAGCATGTTCCCTTGCACAATGCAGTCAGGCAAGTACCTTTTTTCTGGCAGCTGGCAAACCCAGACTCATCTATCATATTGACAGACAGAGAAGTGTGACTGGACACTCCAGAGAACACGTCTCCATTGCTCTACAATCCAGTGGTTGTGTGCTTTAAACCACTACATCTTATGCTTGGTGATGTAAGGCTTGGGCATAGGCTGTAAAATATATGGACGTAGTGTCCGTGACGTCACCCATAGGTTTCTGAAGAGCGCAAAAGAAGCCACAAGTAGGCGCGGCCAACTATCGCCATTTTGTTCGCGTGTCATCACACCCACGGCGGGACACCAAACAAGGGCAAAGAGGCGGAGAGTGAGCGGAGCTACAGACACCTGCTGGCATTTAGCTTGGACCTGGTTCAGACACACTTTACTTTGGGAGAACCCTTAATACTATATCACCTGCGACTCGTTTGTATTCTGACCACTTGTGCTTGGCTGTACACTATATCAATAAACTGTTTAGACTTTTAAAAACACTGCTGTAATACATTGAGCCACTAAGTATTGTTCTTATGACGCTTTTCTACAGGAGGAAAACGCGAATTACTTCCAAACACTTCAGATATAGTCTGTGTTAGTTAATGTAAGACTATTGATGAAATCCAGCATAACACTGTATGACAACGCTTCAGATGACTGTTCTAGAGCCTACAGCTAATCAATTCGTCAGATTCTGGAGTGCACTACAGCTCTAAATATAAATATAAACGATAAATGATCTTAAATAAAACAAAAACATATATAGAGATGGTATATAAGTATATAACTTTACTCACATGGGAAACGGAGGCCACATGAATGGTTTGTGAGCACAATTAAGTGCACTCAGCATGCCATGCCATATGATAATTTTAGGAAACAAGTCCAAAAGGCAGTTGACTGTGTAAAGTCACATAAAACAACACAGAAATACGATGAATTTGCCGAGTTCAGTGGCTAATCTGCAGGATTCAGCTGAGGTGACGTGACGGCGACCAACGAGACCTAGCTGTCAATTAAGTGGCCACGCCCTTATTTATGCAAACTTAATATAGCCTAATATAAAGGCAACGGATGAGTAATAAAAAAATTCACCCCCCTCACAGTTGTCATGAAGGGTAATATTAGCTGTATTAACCAAAATCTTTTTTTGTACCAGGCTGTAAACACCTTTTTTTCTGCTGTAAAATTGGCCATTCTAACAGTGGGCTCAATTGAAATTTGCTCTATTATGGAGCCAGAAGCGGCCAGGATTAGCGGAATTTCGGATGAATTGCAGTTTTAGTTACTTCCGTATTGGCTTCCTGAGGGAGAGCGGGAGGTTGCCGCTTGGGCTTGGGTGAAGCTGCCCTACAAGAAAAACCCACCTCATGAAGATTTTTATCCAATTGGATAAGAAACTACTAAAACTTTTAATAGGAAAAACGGCTGGTGATCAACTGTGGACCACATGGAGCAGAATGTATCACGGTAACACGTGCATCAAACATCAATCGCACAACTGGCATGATTATAAGAGGACAAATTTGATTAAGTTCTCACAAGAGTCACCAATTGTCTTCTCTGGAGAAGATTAAGAGATATAATTATCAAACAAGTTAAAAAAATATAATAAAATCAGTGTAAACCAAATCAACTGCTTTTAATAATGTAGGTTCGCAAACAGCTCAAAAGACAGTCATTTTAAAAGCTTTGTAATAACAGATTTATATAAATTTATAGCCATATATTTATTTAGGAATTTGAATTTAAAATGATTACTAATATTTTTATTTACAACTATTTCAGTAAGGTTTTCCGCCATGTAAAACATATGCTAGAGTAATTGGTGGTTCATTCAGCTGTGGCAACCCCTGATAAAGCAGGAACTAAGCTGAAGTAAAGTGAGTGAGTGAATGAGTGAATAATATTTGAATACACATAATTATAATTAACCTGATATAAACGATTGATTAGCAACAAAAGGCAATTTTAAAACTCTAAAATGCTTTTAGTGAAAAAGGCTTTCATTTTGAGCAAACAAAGACGTCCGGGGTCACTGTTTGCACCGCTGATTGTGATCTCTAACCCATAAGAAAACCATAATAAAAAGGAACCATGATGACAAAACACAATCAAAACCAACCCAAAATCAAAAACCCACACTGGCTTTGTGCAACAGGCCTCAGATGCCAATGGTGACACACGTTCATTAGCAAATCTAAAAGCAGTGGCACAGACGTTACAGTTGCAATCCGAATTATTAAATCCTCTTTGAATTTTTTTCTTCTTTTTTAAATATTTCCCAACTGATGTTTAACAGAGCAAGGAAATTTTCACAGTATTTCTGATATTTTTCTTCTAAGAGAAAGTTTAATTTGCTTTAATTTGGCTAGAATAAAAGCTGTTTTTATTTTATTTTTTTAAACATTTTAAGGTCAAAATTATGAACTGCTTTAAGTTATATTTTTTTCAATAGTCTACAGAACAAACCACTGTTATCCAATAACATATCTAATTACAGTAAACTGCCTAGTTAACCAAACTAACCCAATTAAGCCTTTAAATGCCACTTTAAGTTGTACAGAAGCGTCTTGAAATACAGTTGAAACCAGAAGTTTACATACACTGTATAAAAGGCACGAAACCATTTTTAAAAAAAGTCAGATGTTAATGTGGCTAAATTTTTCTCTTTTAGATAAGTCAGGATTATCGAATTTGTTTCTGTTATGTTTAATAGCAGAATAATGAGAGAGAGATTTTTGGAGAAATTGTTATAACTTTTCTTGAAAGTCAAGTTTACATACATTAAGATTATTATGCATCTGAAAAAGCTCAGATGATGATGTCAAGGTTTTGGAAGTTTCTGATTGGCTAATTGACAACATTTGAGTTAATTAAAGGCACAATTGTAGAATAGTATTTAAGGAAAACCTCAAACACACTGCTTCCTTTTGTGACAACATGGGAAAATCAACAAGCCAGAATCAACAAAAAAGCCAGATTACAATTTGCTAAATTACTCTGAGAAAAAGAATAATTTTTGGAGGCATGTCCTGTGGTCTGATGGAACTAACATTGAACAGTTTGACCATAATGACCAGTGTTACATTTGAAGGACAAATAGGAAAGCTTACAAGCCTAGGAACACCATCCTAACTGTGAAGTATGGGGGCAGCAGCATCATGTTGTGGGGCTGTTTTGCTGCAGGAGAGACTGGTCCACTTCACAGTATAGAACAACATGAAGAAAGAACATTATGTAGAAATACTGAAGCAACATCTCAAGACATCAGCCAGGAAATTAAAACTTGGCCACAAATGGGTCTTCCAAACAGACCGTGACCCAAAGCATACTGCCAAATTAGTTAAAATGTGCTTTAAGGACAACAGAGTGAATGTTTTCGAGTGGCCATCACAAAACCCTGATCTCAATCCTACAGAAAATTTGAGGGCATAGTGGAAAAGCTTGTGCGAGCAAGACAGCCTACAAATCTGATTCAGTTACACCAATCCTGTCAGGACGAATGAGCCAAAATTCCTTAAAACTATTGAGAGAAGCTTGTGGAAGGATACCCAAAACATTTGACCAAAGTTATACAGTTTAAAAGCAAAGCTAAAAAAATATTAAGGAAATGTATGTAAAATTTGACTATCAAGAAAGTAATAAAAAATTCTTTTAAAAAAATCTCTCATTATTCTGGCATTTAGCAAATGTAAATCATTTAGGTAATCATCACGAACCTAAAATAGTAAACGTTTAGTATGATTTAACACAAGACATTTTTTTAAATGGTTATGTTCCCTTTTTAGAGTGTATGTAGACTTCTTGTTTCAATTGTATATCTAATCAAATATTATTTACTTTCATCATGGTAAAGATAAAATAAATTAGTTATTAGAAATAAGTTAGTAAAACTTTTATGTTTAGAAATGTGTTGAAAAAATCTTCTTGGGGGAAAAAATAAACAGGGGGGCGATTTCAGTGATACAAACATGTTAATTGGACAGATCTCCAGTACGTTGTCGCAGCAGGGGGAAACCTGAAATGGCACATTTTTGGACACTGCATCTGATTTATGGCGATTTAAAAAAATTACTGGGTGGGTTTTTAGCATTATAGGTGGGCTGTTTACACACACCGAGAACACGCATAAGTAAATCTGAAAGTAAATTTAGGCACAATATGGCATAACACCACTCTTGTGTGCATTACACATTCCATGCATAGCTAAATATAGCGATGGTACAGATATACAAAGTACATCAACAAAAGTTCAATTATACTTTGATGTTCGGCTCCATTTTAAAAGGCAAGTACTGAGTGACAAGCTATACAATATACCTAAACACCCACATACTAACAGTAGTGACCAAAAGTGATGTTGGAAAGGGACCTTGATAAATATTTGTGATTCAATAAATCTTACAAATGGAAATTAAAACCCTCAAAATATGAGGAACTTTCTATATTAGGAAATGGAAAACACTAAATTAACATTTATCACAGAAAATGCTTTAATTTCACTGTCAAAAATGTATAGAAAAACGAAATCTTAACAAACATACACACAGCTAGCGAACACATCCGTGTATATTTCACAGTTTCTCTCTTGTATTCTCCGTCACATCTCTCAATAAGCATGTTTTCTTGGTTATCACAAATAAAATAACGAAAATGTAAAGCCCGTACAAACATTTTACACTTTCCAAGCACAACTACGCTTAGAAAATCTCCACATAACATCAATATGTCTGAATAAAAGAGCAGGGATGAACTTTTATCACTTTTGGCCATCACCATATGTTTACAGGTAGCATTGCTAGAAAAAAAATTCAGAAAATAACTCAATTCTAACTATGGTTAATACCTTTCTTAGTGGAGCACACATTTCAAATGAACTGGAAGGTTGTTTTGGTCCTGTGCTATCTCACCTGGTAAGTAGCTGCGTCTAGGTTTGACAGAGCCACGTAGAGAAGGTTGTTTTGCAGGGTGTAGATTCCTGAGGGAATTGCCAGCTTCAGAGTTAACAGAGGTCTGTTGATTATTTCCTCCTTCAACACCAGATTCAGTGAACGAACACTGAAACCTGACACACACAGCACTGGATATTAGACAATCATCTTATGCAGTGATGCAAAACTTCCCTATGCTGCCCAGAGAGTCACTTCACAAGCATTTAACAGATTAAATTGAGAAAAACCCTGTGTGTACACACAAAACCCCAAGCATTTTCAGCTATTATAATAGTTTTATAACTTAAAATGGATATTTTTTAATATAAATTGTAACACAGACTTATTAGACTGTAAAAAATGGCCGTGATTTCAGCTGTAAAAAACTGTAAAAATGCTACAGTACAAATCCGTAACCTGGTTAACGGTATGTTTCCTTAATATATAGCTATGTAACAAAAGATGTGTAGATGTTAGTCATTCAAAATACAGAGATTTTACCTCTATAAATTTATCAAATACGGTAGGTTACCGTAAAAATTAGAAATTACTTTTACGGTTTGTACCGTGTTTTTAACGGTAAAGTACTGACAACCACAGCTGCCGTTTTTTTACCGTAAATTTTACGGATTTATTTTTTACAAGTGAGACCTCATTTGGTCAATCTGTCTTCTCAGTAAAGGGAGCCCAACTGTGGAATGATTTACCTGTTAGCTTAAAATCAAAAAGTAATCTAAATAGTGTTTAAAAAAAAACCGCAGTGTTTGCACAAATAATACTACTGTTAGTTTGTTGGATCAAGTCGCCTTTGCTTTTGCCTTCAGTAATTTTATGTAAAGAGTTATGATGTGTCAGGGTTCTGCCACTCTGGTCTTGTAAATTCTTGTTTTGGTGGCAGAGCTCGGACACTACCCATGTCTGGTCCTGTTTCTGTCTCTGTGTGTGCGCGCGCCGTCGTGGGTGTACGCAGAGTGTGCGCACTGCCGCTTGATGTGGCTGCGCGCGCTCTTGTACTAGTGTTTGTGTTTGTTCTGTCAGCATCGCGCTGCTTTATTCTCGGCGCCTCCGTCTAGTTGGTTTTAGTTTTGGTTGGCGCTGAGATGAAGCATGCACGTTGCTTACGTGTGAGCGCACGGTAAGATGTTTATCTATCGTGTGCTCGTGTCTTGCGTCTTTTGTCAAAGCACGTGGCTCGATGTTTACATTGTGGTCACGTGCTTTTGTCGTGTGCTTCAGTGTTGTGTTTTGTTGTCATGAACATGCGGTTAATGAGTTCTCTCATTGGCTGCATGTTCTTGTCCTGTTTTATGTGAGCGCATGGCTTGTGACGTCTCTCTGTGTCATGCGCTCTCCCGTCTATTGTCTAGTCCCACCCTCCTTGTTAACCCATTATTAGTTAATTATGTTCATCTGTTTTTGTGTTAATTTCCTACAGTTTATAAACCCCTTATGTCTGCTGTCCTGTGCGAGTTCGTCACCACATGTTGTCCATCTTTACCTGTCCTTCTGTGTCCAGCCTTGCCTTGTCGTGCCTGCCCAGTCAAGTTTGTTTGTTTATTTGTTTTATTAGTGTTTTCCCCCTCGGGGTTGTTTATTTTGTATTTTATTTTATTTTTATTATTTAATAAAATCCTATTTACTCTGCACTTGGGTCCTCGCTCCTTTTTCCCTTCATCGGAACATGACATGATGTTTTGTATGTTTTCATTTTATTTCCATTTTGTCAATTTTTTCAAGCCTCTTGTGGACAGGTGTTGAGAATTAGCAAGTTTGCTAAAACACTTAAACAAACGCATTTGGTTGTCCAATGTAATTGTGATGTCCATGTCAAATAAATAAATAAAATTACCACTATACAGTAGAACATACTTCTCAAGTAATAACAATAATAATAATAAACTATTAAACAGTTGTAAGGAATAATTATATGTTTTCTCTCATGTTTTAAATTTTAAATAAATAAAATGTATTTTGCCAAGTCCTTAAAAAAAATTCAAACTGTATATTAGGCCTGCACAATATTGCAAAATAAAAGCTGACATTGCAATATTTTGTTTTTCTGCGATTGTCATGGCTCCTGGATTTTCTCTTAATAAATCAAACTTAGTCTGGAGGTTTTGAATATCAGAAGAATATAGCCTACTTTATTGGAATGTTTTCCAAAAAAGCAGAGACAGACTGGAGCAAACCCATCTCAGTCTCTCTCCAGAACAAATCTAAAGTGCCTGTCTTCTTAACAATCTTTAAACAGTTTTCCACCTACCCACCTCTAGGTGTTCTTGTTTTAACTTCAACCATTTTAGGATGTTTTCACTTTACTGAGATGTTCAGTATATCTTTAGGTGCTCATGTTATTCTGGGCCCTGTTTTTTTCACCAGAGTGGTCTCTCCATAGATTCAATCTCTTACGAATGTTTACGTACATTGCCATGATGCTTCTTCACGATTTATATACAGTGTATCTGGAAAGTATTCATAGCGCTTCTCTTTTTCCACATTTTTTTTAATGTTACAGCCTTATTCCTAAATAGATTAAATTCATTTATTTCCTCAATTCTACATACAATATCCCATAATGACAATGAGAAAAAATTACTGAAATTGTTGCAAATTTATTACAATAAAATCCCTGAAAAATCACATGTGCAGAAGTATTCACAGCCTTTGCTGTGAAGCTCTTAATTGAAGTCAGGTTTGTTCTGTTTCCACTGATCATTCTTGAGATGCTTCAGCAGCTTAATTGGAGTTCACCTGTGGTAAATAAGTTTATTTGACATGATTTGAAGAGGCATACACCTGTCTATATAAGGTCCCAGGGTAGACAGTGCATGCCAAGGCACAAACCAAGCATGAAGACAAAGGAATTGTCTGTAGACCTCCGAGGCAGGATTGTCTCGAGGCACAAGATTGGGAAAGAGGACAGAAAAATTTCTGCTGCTCTGAAAGTTCCAGTGAGCACAGTGGCCTCCATCATTCATAAGTGGAAGATGTTTTGAACCACCAGTACTCTTCCTAGAGCTGGCTGGCCATCTAAGCTGAGTGATCGGGAGAGAAGGGCCTCAGTCAGGGAGGTGATCAATAACCCAATGATCACTTTGTCTGAGCTCCAGCGTTCTTCTATGGAGAGAGGAGAACCTTACAGAAGGACAATCATCTGTGCAGCAATCCACCAATCAGACCTGTATGGCAGAGTAGCCAGACAGAACCACTCCCGTTCTGGAATTTGCCAAAAGGCATCTGAAGGACTCTCAGACCATAACGAAACAAAATTATCTGGTCTGATGAGACTAAAATTTAATTCTTTGGAGTGAATGCCAGGCGTTACGTTTGGAGAAAACCAGACACCGCTCATCACCAGGCTAACACCATCCCTACAGTGAAGCATGGTGGTGGCAGCATCATGCTGTGATGTTTTCCAGCAGCAGATCTGGAAGACTAGTTAGGTGCTTCAGATTGCTTTTGACCGCAGACTGGGGCGACGGTTCATCTTGCTGCAGGACAATGACCCAAAGCACACCACCAAAATATCAATGGAGTGGCTTCACAACAACTATGGGAATGTGCTTGAGTGGCCCAGCCAGAGCCCAGACTAAATCATATTGAGCATCTCTGGAGAGATCTGAAAAAGGCCGTCACTGTCACTTTCTATTCAACCTGACAGAGCTTGAGAGGTACTGCAAAGAGGAATGAGCAAAAATTCCCAAAGACAGGTGTGACAAGCTTTTGGCATCATATTCAAAAAGACTTGAGGCTGTAATTGCTGCTAAAGGTGCATCAACAAAGTGCTGAGCAAAGGCTGTGAATACTTCTGTACATTTGAGTTCTTTCAGGCTTTTTATTTTTCATAAATTTCAACAATTTCAAAAAAATCTTGTTTCACATTGTCATTATGGGGTATTGTGTGTAGAATGTTGAGGAAATAAATTAATTTAATCCATTTTGGAGTAAGACTGTGACCAGTGGCGTAATGCAAAATGCGGGGGCCCCCCTGCACGGATTATTGACTGGGCCCCCTGGTGAAGTCGGAAATAACGCTCGGAGGGTGTGGGGGATAAGGGGGGCGCGGGGCACCCTTATGACCCTAGGGGCCCGTCCGCTACACCACTGACTGTAACATAAAAAAGGGGAATTAATTTCCAAATTGCAAATTATTTCACAAGATGACTTCATTTGTAAAACAATCATAGTTTTACATTGATTAGGATGATTTTGGGATGATTGGAATGTGCATTTGCATAAAATATACTAAATTATATAAAGGTATTTACATATAAAGCACAGGTAATAATGAAATTAACTGCTTTTTATGATTTTCTGTGGAGTCTAACAGTATTGGGCAACAGAAATTCGATAACCAAATGTTAAATAACATTGAACAGTTTTCATTGTATAAATAATAAACAAATTTTATAATTTCTTGTGCCTAAATGGTTTATTTCGCTTGAAATCACAGGCCTCAATAACACATCCCAAAAAAATCGTTCACACTAGTGATGGGAAGTTCGGATCATTTTACTGATTCGGATCATCAAGATGAACGAATCTTTTTTCGAGTCATTTCGTTCATTTGGTTCAATTGGTTCAATTTGCCAAAATATTATTAAAATGTTACGAATTGCTTCCAAACACATCTACAACTAGCCCAAAAGGTTGATCACACGACAAATAAGTCATAAATAGAATATAAGGAGAAAATAATAATTCAATGTTTAACTGCTCTTTTGTCTATAAAGGCATTGTTGCCTCTTTGCTCAGCTCACCTCTTCATGTCTTCAAATGTCAGTGGTTTATTCACATTACACTAACAGTTACATTTAATTTGAATCAATGCAAAAGTCTAAGCCGATAGGAGCCATGATCGTTCGTTGTTCACGTGACAGAATGACTCAAACCCGAGGACTCGAGAGATGAACGGTTAAATTCTTTTTCCGGCTCTAAACGCTTATGATTGGCTTCTGCCAATGTGATGAAGACTTGAAATTAACGATACTACCTGCACAAATGTGCGCACGCGCGGATGAACGAATCACTCCCTAAGAGGACTCGTAGTTCCCGAGTCATATTTAAGATTCGTTTAAAATGATTGAATCACTAGTTCACACTGTTAGAGTTAAACTTTGTACGGACTCCACAAATCATGCGTTTAGAACTTGTGTGTATGAACTTGGGAATATGATCCCAATCTGAGATTGTAGATCCTGTGATGTGACTATTGAAGATTTGCGATATCAGTGCGGAAATGATATATTGAGCAGCCCTATATGGGGTAGCAAAATTGTAGTAATGTGAATCTGGACCATAAAACCCGTCTTGCTGCACAGCTTTGAGAATAGTCAAAAACACACGGTGTGAGTCAAAATTATTTATTTTTATTTGATCCCAAAAATCATTACAATAATAAGTAAAGATCATGTTGAATAAAGGCATATTGTCCTTTATCAAAACCTCATTTTTGATTAATAATATGCATTTTGTTAATTTTAAAAAGGATTTTCTCAATATTTGGATTTCGATTTTTTTAACACGTCAGATTCTAGATTTTTCAACGACACTGTCCTATACTAACAAACAAACATCGTAGAAAAGATGATTTGTTGAGCTTTCAGGTGACGTATAAATCTCAATTTCCAAAAATGGACACTTACTGTATGACTGGTTTTGTGATCCAGGCTCACAGCTGTACTTGTAACTCTTCATTACAGACATCGCTTTTCTCAAACATTAAAAGTTTTCAGCTCAATGACGCATAAAAACACAAACTCACTGTGATCTCTGAAGACAAGCAGAATGCAAGCAACAATCTTAAGAAGTTCAGCACACACCACAGCAGATGATGCCAAGTAGAGGGGTTCTTCTGTGTGCAAGGTACGGGAATAACGCATTGTCAGCACCAAGGAGGTGGTCTGGAACACCAGCACCCCCAGAGAGGCATACTTCAGTCGGGATGAGGTGGAGATACTGGAGGCCTCTGCTGAGCCAGAGACAGAGGACAGGGACGAGTGCCCCTGTTTAGTCTAATAGAGAGAAAGACGTCACAGAGAGCAGAATGACAACATTAGACATAGTATTAGGAAACATCTAAACTTATATTTCATATATTCATCATTCATTTTCTTATCGGCTTTACTAATCTGGGGTCGCCACAGCAGAATGAACAACTTATCCAGCATGTTTTACGCAGCGGATGCCTTTTCAGCTGCAACCCATCACTGGGAAACAACCATACACACTCATACACAACGGCCAATTTAGCTTACCCAATTCACCTGTACCACATGTCTTTGGACTTTGGGGGAAACCGGAGCACCCGGAGGAATTCCACACGAACACGGGGAGAACATTCAAACTCCACACAGAAATGCCAACTGACCCAGCCGAGGCTCGAACCAGCGACCTTCTTTCTGTGAGAAGACCATGCTACCCATTGCGGCACTGTGAAGACTATTATTTAAAACTGTTCAACTTCTTAAAAAGTATTTTATGTGTATCGATTCTTTATAATTGTTTAATGTAATTAAAAATACATTACAAGCTGTGAAACGCGGTTACAATAAAAAAAAAAAAAACATTCTTTTTTAAAATATATTTAAAATGTCAATTATTTCTGAGAAGAAACAAAAATTATTTTCAGTATCACTACAGTCTTGATTATCACTTGATCTTCAGAAATCATCACGGCATGTTGATTTATTCATTGTCTTTTCGGCCTAGTCCCTTTTATTAATCCTGGGTAGCCACAGTGGAATGAACCGCCAACTTATCCAGCACGTTTTTACACAGCGGATGCCCTTCCAGCCGCAACCCATCTCTGGGAAAAATCCACACACACTCATTCACACTCATACACTACGGACAATTCAGCCTACCCAATTCATCACAGCATGTTAAATTCTGGAAACTAATTTTTTTTTAACTGATGTTCTTGTGATGAACATACACATTAAAAGAACACCTTATAAACCTTTTGTAATACTTTACAGGTCTTCACTGTCTGTTCAAATCAACCAGTTAATCCTAAATAAAGTTACTAATTTTACCACTTTCAAAAAATAAAGTATTCCTAAACAATTTAAACATTAGTGGATAATAAAAATATAAAAAAGGAACTGGCAAATAATACTGAGACAAATATTTTTTGATTGTAAGTATTCAACTTTTGCTGTAACGGTGTTTCCCCCCACAGTCCAAAGATATGTGGTATAGCTACACTGTCCATAGTGTATCTGTATGTGTGTGAATGAATGTGTAAGGATGTTTCCCAGTGATGGGTTACAGCTGGAAGGGCATCCGTTGCATAAAACATATGCTGGATAAGTTAGTGGTTCATTCCGCTGTGCCAACTCCAGATTATTAAAGGGACTAAACCGAAAAGAAAATGAATGAATAAATATACATTTTTTTAATCAAATAAAAATGTCAGATTCAGAAAGATAAATTTGAATAAATCACAAATGAACAAATAAAGCATATATTATGTCCACCATTGCTGCATAACTGTTCAATTTAATTTAAAATCCAGGAAAAGCACTATCGCTGAGAAAAGAAAAAATATATATTTTCAGTATCACCATACAGTCTTCATTGTCACTTCATCTTCAGAAATCATTGAGGTATGTTAATTTGTGCTAAAAACAAACATGTTTTATATTTAATGTTCTTTTAATGACCAGAAACTTTAAAAGAACCCCATTCATTGAAAATTTAATCCTTTTGTAATACTTTTTCTTCACTGTCGGTTTAGATCAACGAGATAATACTTAAAGTTATCAATTTTAACACTTTCAAAAAAATAAAGTATTTATAAACATAAACAACTTAAACATTGGTGAATATTTAAAAACATAAAAAAAGGAACTGCCAAATAACACTAAGACAAAAAAAAATGTATTTTAAGTTTACAACTTTTGGCATAAGGGTGTTTCCCCCACAGTCCAAAGATATGTGGTATAGCTAAACTGTCCGTAGTGTATGTGAATGAGTGTGTATGGATGGTTCCCAGTGATGGGTTACAGCTGGAAGGGCATCTGCTGCGTAAAACATATGCTGAATAAGTTGGTGGTTCATTCCGCTGTGGCAACCCCAGATTAATAAAGGGACTAAGCCAAAAAGAAAATGAATGAATGAATATACTTTTTTTTTTTAAATCAAATAAAAGCGTCAGATTCAGAAAGATAAATTTGAATAAATCACAAAAGAACAAATAAAGCATGTCCACCATTGCTGCATAACTGTTAAATTTAAATAATAACCCAGTAAAAGCTCTATTTCTGGGGAAAAGAAAAATATATATTTTTAGCATTACTATACAGTCTTCATTGTCACCTAATCTTCACAAATCATTAGGGTATGTTTACTTGTGCTAAAAACAAACATGTTTTATAAATAATGTTACTTTTAATCAACCAAAACTTTAAAAGTGTATAATCCTTTTGTAATGTGTATTCACTGTCGGTTCAGATCAATCAGTTATTGATGAATAAAGTTATTAATTTTAATACTTTCAAAAAATAAAGTAATTACTAAACAAAAAATTAGAACATTAATGTTTTTTTTTACAAATATAAAAAATATATAGCTGCCAAATAACACTAACGTTAAGACAATTTAATTTCGATTTTAAAAATGAAACTTTTTAAAAACACAGTAAAGCAACCGTTTAAAATTATTTTAATAATTTAGTTCTCAGAATAAACCAGTAACTCGTCAATTCATTTACAATTGATCTGGAATGCCTTTAAAAGATTATTAGACTTCGTCTAACATTAACAATAATGTTCATACTTGACATTACAAAGCAAATCTGCCTTTTACAGTGAGAAAACGACAGCAACTCTTAGCACTCATACATATTCATACACACATTCAGTATCATGCATCGAGAATCCACGTATTAAAATTAACGGTCACCAGCTCTCACGGATCAGTAATCTTCACTCACCCCAGTTAAACTCATTTTATCGGTGCCATTGCTGTCTTTGCAACGTTTCCAAAAGCCTTCCACGTAAAGTAGCTAAATACCTGCTCGAAAAGTTGCTAAATGGCTCTACATGATGTCACGCGCTAATTAGCATATACGTTGCGTCACGGCGTCGAATCACCACTTGCATAATTTTTGCTTCTCTTGTCAGACAACGCTGCCCGTTAATATGATATGCAGTCTCTACCAAATTTCTGCTCTGCGTTGTAAAAATACAGCTTCATTAACACAACGTTAGCTGAAATATCAAACACATGAGACTATTCAGTTATATTAACGTATGGAATAATAATAACAGAGACAGAACAGAAAAAAAAAAATTCCAAAATCTGCCCCTTTTAGTAAATCAAAACATAAAAAGAGCTAAATACATTCAAAACTAAGCAAAAATAGGCTACCTCCTTGTTAAAAATACTTAGTTTAGTTTTTTTTTTCAAGAAGGTACTAGAAGTTACAGTATCCTATAGTGCAGATATTGAATGTTTGCATTACAATAATCACCACTAAAGTGAAAAACGTTTTTCAAAATTCTCCAAAATGGTTTCTGTTCAATAGTTTTAGTACATTTTTAATGAAAGACGGTGATTCACTTTAAACGTTGGCACTGTAGTTTTTAGTAAAGCTCAATAAGAAGCCAACCTGAGCCACTCCCAGTGGCACACACACATACACACATACAGCCGGATGGAACAAGGATGTGAAATTGTGTTGTAATCCTATCTACAATACAGTTCTGCTTTCACAATCAAAAACACTATTTATTCAACAGCAGGTGGTAGAAGCACTGTGAAAAAAATCAACGAAATGTCAAAGTCAAAGAAAAAAAAAAGAGGTTAAAATTCATTTGAAGGTAAATACCTTTACATCAGTGCAAATAAGACTTGGCAAACACATGGCTTGGGTGTGATTGAGAAAGCTGAAGCACACACAGAGCACACAGACTGCCTTATGCAGCGATCAGCCTCGCGGTGAGAAGGACAAGCTCCACAATTCTCCTCTGTGTGCAGGAGTAC